CCCCCCCCTTTCTGTGGAGGGGGGCGGGGGACGCCGGCTGCCCCACCCCCCATCTCGGCCCGGGCAGACAGCACGGCACCACGTTCGCTTCCTTCTCTCTCCGTCTCGCGCTCACGCCCCTCCTCCTCCCCTTCTGTCTCTCTCGCTCGCCTCCCGATGACTTCCTGCTGCTGCCAAGCCCCAGCATCACTCGCCTGTACCCTCCCACAAATTAAATAGACACGAGTCGAGGACAAACAAATAAAGGCCACAACAGGACGAGAAAGGAAAAGGGGGTGGGGACGGGGGTCCCTCTCCGCTCCATGAATGGAATGCCAACGGCAGTCAAATAAAAAAGTGAAAATCAATACACCACGTAGTGATCGATTTCACTCGGAGAAAGGCATATTATTGATCAAGCGGAAGAGGTGTCGGTGCAGTAAGGATGAGTAGTAGTTGTAGTAAGCGATATGAAACGTAGGTACGAGGTGAAAAGCAACCATTAATTTGGGGAATTCCACTAGACCTTGCACCAGGGTGACCCATCGGCGCGGTTCTTTCTCCTGATTATGCTATATCGGATACAGAGCAGGCGTACTCGCACGGAGCCGTAAGGCGCCTGGTTGAGTGACGATAGGCAAACCCGCACGCACGCCTGCATCCGGTACAGTCTAACGGTTATACTTGAATTAGAAGGAAGAACGGCACCCGGTATGACCACCTGCTACCTGCTTGTGCCCGCGCCTTTTTTATTTTTTTATTTTTTTCGCAGTGGAAGGCAAAACAGTCGTTTCAGGGCGTTATGGGGATGGGGGAGGAGAGAAGAGAAGGTTCCTCACGGTGAGGCCGAGCGGGGCCAACGCACATCCTGTTGCGGATGAAATTCGATCGCACAACGCCAAGAAGTCAAGTCAGCCGGGATGGCCTAGGCCGTCTAGGCGAGCGGAGCCGAGCATGCAGCCAGACCGCCAAACGGGCGATGGTGCGATGCTGGCTGAGCGTGAGCGTGATGCTGAGCGGAGGGTGGTCACTGTTGCCCCGACAGGAGAACTATGCAAGGATATGGTTGAGGCCCCCCTCCCCCGTGACAATCAGGCATCTCGACTTGAACACAAATGCTTTGGTTGCGCAGTTCAGCCGAAATTGACGGGGGTGTGGGGTGGACGGGAGGGGGAGTAGCGAGGAATAGCCATGGTTTATCCCCGCGCTCATCGCAAATTGATGGGGATGGCGATGGCTGCCTCAGATCCCGATGGAAGGGAAGGCGGATGCCTCCCGCCTCCCGCCTCCGTCTATCCATAACGGGCGGGTTTGCGGTTCCGCGACTTCCCCGCCAAACTATTCCAAGTAGCGCCGGGAGAAACTTACGGGGTGGCGCCGAAGTCAGGGAGGGGAGAAAGGCGTGAGGAGGGAGTGGGGCACCCTCCCCTTGCACCCCACCCCTCTTCCTCTGGGGAAAGGAAAAGAACACGCAGCCGCCGCTGAGGGGGCGCGGCGCGCAGCGGCTCCGCCAGGGCTCCGCGCCTCCAACCCCAAGGCAGAATCAAAGAAAAATCGGTGCGCGAAACTTAGAGCGGGAATATTCAAATGCGCGCCGCCGCCGCTCGCCCGCCCGCCCGCGCAGCGTGCGCGGCGCTGCCGCCGTAACTCGCGCTGCAAACCTGTGCAGTTACGGCGGGCTGGGTTCGGCTCCCGGCCGCGGCCCTGGCGGCCCTGGCGCTCCTCCGGGGGGCCGCGGCCCGGGCCCGGGCCCAGGACGAGCAGGGCGTGTTGATACTAAGTTGGTAAGACTTACCCGAGTTAGCGTATAGTTGGCGGTGTGGGGGCCACGGGCTCACTACTTCACGTCAGCACGTGGTGTTATCTAAGATTGTTGTTTCAAGGCACGATTCCAGGCTCCCGCCCTCGCCGCGCCTGCCCCGCCCGACCGGCTCCTTGCGTTTACTGGAGTAGTCTCACCCTCCTTTCCTCCAGACGGCCCGCCCCCGCCGCCCCGTGGACCCGCAAAGTCGGTCAGAGCGACATGCTAATTCATCGGCGAACTTATTACAGGTGAATCGTTTTCGCAGGCAGACCCCGATCGACACGGTGAGCAGCACCGCAGCGCGGCGTGGCGGGAAAGATCACACGTGTGTTTGTGGCCAGCAAACTTTGTGATGGAGAGAAGAGTGGGTCCAGGTGTCGAATGGGTTGCCTAAACACCCGGCGGGGTGGGAAGCCGGATGGCGGATGGGCTGCCTACCCACCAGGCGGCCCCACGGGTGCGCACTGTGTGGGGCATGTGGCCTCGCTCTGCACGTCAACAACGGGTGCCATCAAACAAAAAAGGAAATAGTATGAGATTAATTGTTCGTAAGTTTATTCCCTCAGATAAATAATTGATGCATCCAAAGCTTTCTGGGGAGTACAAAATCGATAACAAAGTATTTTGGAATAAATACAGTTCCTTAAAAAAGAATCTTTCTCGTCTAGCTATAAAAAACATCAACGGCAAATAAGATATTTCTCATTTCCAAAACCTGTAGCTTGTGTTCATGACAGAATAGTTCTCTTGAGATCAAAGACAGGAGTGTAACAGCATAAGACACATAAAGGTACAATAACATAATTTTTGACTTAAGTTTTAACAGGGCATACTCAAAAAACTACAAAAAAACACCGATTCAAAAACAAATAATACACAAGCAAAATCTACTCAAAGAATTGGGAACAGACACACATCATGTTTAACACTATAAGAACGGAATGACAATAATATGAACTACTGAAAAATACTATAGTAAGCAACAGGAAAACAAACAGCTGATAACAGAAATATCTTGTTACTTTAGTTCATATAAGAAATATATACTACTGAGTACATATGAAAATAATCTTTAACTGTAGGAGAAAGTTATGTGTCAGCATACAATACACTAGCAGCAAAAGCCAAAAGACAATACTTAAAATTTGTACATTGTCATCGTCAATGAGCATGATCTAGTGCAAATTGGTTTGCATTGACTTCCAAACTCATACAAGTACTTATCTTTATGATTCTTTCTCTAAGTTGGGTTATACTTTTAATCAAGTTTCTTCTCATACTGTCATGTTCATGCTATACTAGCCTTAAATATTACTTGTATCACAGAGGTATCAAAGAATAGATTACAATCATAACACTAACTAAAGATCACAAATTGTGCAGAGAAGGAAAACATTAATTAGGTTTACGTTATTTGGCTGTTGATATCCTAAAAATTCATACACTACTGATGTACAAAAATTTCTATGTCAGACAAATAGGGAGAAAAATCAAACAACAATAATAGTTACACATACCCAAAGAAATTATGGGTAAGTGCCAGTGACACGCCCATAGCTCACTCCCTAAGATTGAGTCAGTGGTGATGAGCTAAGTTTCCACCAATCGAAATTACAAACTTTCCCTCAATACTCATCATAGTCATAGCCATCTCCATAAGAGTCATCATCACCCCGGTGTTGGCTGAGCATTTGTGAAAGAGATTGCTCATGGGATGATGGTTCTTCTTCGACTTCCATATCTTCAAAGTCATCAGCATCATCTATGCATAAACAAATTGTTTAAAATTAGGGTCAAATAACATAATGTTCCTAGAAGTTCCTTGGCCAAAAAAACAAAGTATTACCTGCTTCTAAGGCTGGAGCTGAAATTACAGGAGTTAAAGGTAGAGCAGGCATTAGAGGCAGCCCACTGGCTTCAAACTTCTTCCCTCTTCTGTGAACAGTGGCAACTCTAGGTGCTTTTTCTTTCTTGATAACCTTAGGTGGAGGCTCTACAACAGTGTCAGTCTCATCTGGGTTCTCTGAGGTTGAATTTGTTCTTTCCCTATATCAGAGAGTAAAAAGAAAAATTAGCATGACACAAAAAGTACTATTGAATTGTAGTATTCTATAAAATGTGAAACTTACCGTTTGCTCACAATTGGAGAGGAATTTGTCACAGGCACAAGATCAGAATGCAAGTCAACAGTCAGGTTTTTCAGCACATCATAATTAAGTTTTGATGACATTTTTTTCTCTTGCAGCATCTTCTGCACAGCTTCTCCTGATAAATTAGAAAAAATATGTATGACTCAAGGCAAGATACTCAATGCATATGTTAAAAAAATAT